ACGAAGACCTGCTGTTCAGTGATGGTAACCAGCTACCTGATCCCCGAGACTTTGAGTAGCGAACCACAAAAGGCTCCGATAGGTCAGGCGTGATATAGAATCGGACGATAGCATTCCTTTGCGAAGGGGCGAGCCCGTAGGGGCTTCTCGGTCAACTGAATCGAAGACCTTTTTAGGTCAAGGAACACAACCTCTAGTCGACGGTGTCTGTGGTGTAGTTCGAGGACTTGAAGCTAAGTGAAGATCTGTTCAATACAACTGCGACCTGATCAAAATCCTACTTGTTGTTCGCGGATATTTGTATCCATGAAGGTTTCTAGACGTCGAAGTATGACTGAGGCTAATAACTTGCTGACGATAAGGATCGGATAAGCGATGATCTGCCAATCGAGTTTGGTGATACTTTCTGCGATCAGTGAGTCGAAGAGTGAACTGCATCAATAATAATGCGTGATCAAATTCAACGCAGGTGATCTAATAGGTCCTGCAGTTTTGCACTGAGCCGCGCCAACGGTAGCTCATTACTATGTGATCCATGAGTTAACGCACCAGTTGAATTGGAGCGCCACGTTGCTGTCCGTTGAGAGCTGTCGGATTTTGGTACTGTATGGAGTAGATAGTGATCTATACAGAACTGAGAAAGTCGATCACCGTTATCATTTCGTTGTCTGGGTAAAGCACAACGGCCGCCCAGGCAGGCTTCCGATGCGCTCAGTTTCCAACTTGCGCACTGAAATCTGCTAGCACAACTTTATCCGAGCTTCGGCTCAACCGAATGAGTTCAATGAGTTTATCTTTTTGTGCACCAAAACTACCGTTGATCCGTGTATACACTGAATTGATGAACAAACTTTTTGGTGTTGCTTTCCTTTCGAAAGCTAGTAGAACCTTGAAGCCGCATCGCACATAAGCGACTTTTGACGGGGTTCCAGTAGATTAGTGACACTTCAGCTGTATTATTGAACACGATGCCTACGCCACACCGGTCTACAGAACGGACTTCGTCGTCACCTGATGTGCGGTTGAAGTGCCTTGAAGACAAATCTGGCTCACTCAAGTGGCTTATAGTACTAGGATTCTAGATTCGCATCTCCGATGCGCAACCCAGAGAGTTGGAGGAATAGCAAATGGGAAAAAAGGCAAAAAGAAGCATAACTGCCAGAAACTACTTTACAAAGAGATTCGGATGTTCAGATATCGATGACCGACGAAGCCGGCCGTTCTGCTTTGTGTCGAATGAAATGTTCATTAGATCTCTTTATAATTACCATTCGTTTGTTGTAGGCTTGCAAAAAGCGGTGGTAAGCTGTTCAGTTAATGAACGATGTTTACGACAGGTTGCTGTATTTTAAACTAGCATGACTGAAATTCTTGGGGTATCGTGGTTTTCCGGAGTTGGAGAAGTGTGTGGTACTATACAGGCCTTTTGAAGCAAGGTCGTATACTCTATGTTGGCAATAGGGGTTCACTTTCCTCATCCCTCAAAACAAGCCCACTCCCCACTCTTCGTCCTCATTAGTTCTTACTTTGTATGTAATGTGAGGTTGGCATCGTTCACCCAAATTCATTTCACTGTATCTCGCATTATGCCGATGATGATTGTGTAGATAAATAGTAGGTTTCATCTCACACATGTCTGAAATTAAAAACAAACAAACAAGAAGCGGTGATATTCAGATCATTCCTTGTTTCTCTCGTAGTTTATTGCCCTAACGCAATGTTTGGCACTGCTTCTGTGGATTTCGTATCAAAATGGTCCCAACTCAGCGATGTTGTGTCTAAGTTGATCCGATGCGAACAAATCACTAGGGAACGATGGAACAATAGTTTCCATGACGTTTATGCCTTGTGTCACTCCCGACCATCTTCCCACGCTGCCGCTCTGTACTCTTCTACAACGTCACTGATCAGTGTTCGTGTAAAAGAGATAGCAGCTGAACTGGACACTGTCGATGACTCTGAGCTGTTACCTGCCTATTCACGTCACTGGAACGTTTTCCATAGTGGTTTAACTTATCTGGACAATTTGTATCGGTAAGTCGATGGTCTTCGATTTGTTCGATCCTCCTGTATCTTCAGAGTTGTGAACCAGCAGTATGTAAGAAATCTGCGCCCAACAGAGGCAGAAATGTGTTATGGGGCGATACTACCGATGGCCGACAGACACACAATGGAAATTCTCGAAGTCGGATTAGCGCATTGGAAACTTTATCTGATTGACAATATAAGTCTTCGATTGTCAAGATGTTTATTGAGAGAGGTGGCCAAGTATGTTTGTTGTAATCTTATGTTTTATAAACTTTTCTCAGTGATCGGGCCGGTGTAGTCGGGCAACAAAACACTATCTGTCCAACCCTAAAGTCGTTTCTGCGTGTAGGCGAGTTGCGTGACATTGAGAAGGTGAGTGGTTTATTTCGTCTATAACATCTATCATGGCTATTTTGAATTTCATATTGAATTACTATATAGTTTTGTCGCTATCATGTGATGCATCATTACATATGAATTAAATGCTCCCAGTAGTATATCTTGTGGTTAACGAGGCGGATTTCTATTCATGCTCCTCTCTAATACTTTCCCCGTTGTCACAGTCTACGACTACTACGCATCCGAGGTTTCTGTTATTGTCTTTAATGCATGATTCAATTAGTCGAAAACCGTTAGACTTCTCGACCACATTCCGCTTTCCAGTTACAAGTGCCTCATTTGTAAACCCATCGCAAACACCGTTTTGTGAATTCAAAAGTGATCGGTTACTCCCAAAGTTTTCCAGAAGAGGCAAATGAACCAACCAACCGATCACCGGCTTATCTGGAACAGTGCCTTGTAGTTCGCGCCATCACGACGAGACTCTACCTTGACGTGGTATGACGGCTTGCGTGCCTCCATGACCCCGCGAGCTATACAGGATGGCTGCTCAGCCGCAGATTCAATCATACCTGAAAGGTCAATGGGTAGAGGTTAGACGAAAATCAGTCTCACAAGGCCAGCTGTTTGGGCACCTGGCTTCCCCTGGAGAAGTCACTCCAGCAAAACAACGCGAGAAGGGTCAGTTTACCGGTCAAAAAACCCCGCTAGATGGACACAGAAGCGGAGTCCCTGGGGCTTCCTCCTGACAGTGGGAGAAGTTTTCGCACTTCACTATACAGCTATCACTCACCCAGCCCCCAGCCAATAAAGTGCTGTCCCGTCCACATTCCACTTGTCTCATTGGGTGCATGAGGCTAAGGGCGGATCCCGAAAAGCGGACCGAAAATCAACGCACCAGCGAACAACACAATCAATCGAAATTCAAAGGCCTTGCGTGACAGGTCTCTAGAAGCTCCCACAGGGGTGCTTCGTTCACGCTCCCGCGTTGGATTTACGCCCCACTGCCTTGAGGGTCAGACTTTTAAGTCAAAGACTCCGGTTAGAGTTCCCAAAGAAAACCCCCCTTCGTCGGTGTGGGCAACCGCGAAGTATGCCATTCATCAAAGTCTTGGGCATCCATTTGGAAAACCATCTTTCCAATTTATCTTCTCACTCCCAAACCTTAGCAGATGTATCCTGTTTGCGCCACCCATCGGATATCACTCCGTGTTCAACTAATGAGGTCAACGACTCAGAGGATGTCAGATTTTTGAAATCAAAATCTCCTTTTCACTTAGCCGCATTTAATGTCCACACACTCTACCAGATTGGTCAACGAGCTGCCTTAGCTAGAACCCTTGAAACCTTTAGATGTATGCTGTCTCCGAAACACGCACACTGTCATTACAGGAACAGGATAAAAATAGATTGTCGCTGTTCGAACACCGCTGTCTACATCGCATTACAAGAGTCGGGTGGAGCAACCGGACTAGCAATGCTGAGGTTAGTCGTAGTTTTAAGTAGTCGCGGTCGTCCATTGGAGCAAGTAGTCGACCTTCAGAGATTCCGCTGTTTGGGACATGTGCTACGCATGTCACCAGGTTGGTTGCCACGGCGAGCGATGTTTGTCGAGACAGGGAGCGATGGGAAAGAGATCAAGGGTGGTCAAACGAAAACCTCGTATGAGGGTATGAAAACCCTAACCAGGAAACTGGGTCACATAGGTCCCGTTAGGCTCCCTGGCTGGGGACCCCGAGATGTTGGTCACCGATGGTTAGATACACTTAGTGATATGGCTGGGTGTCGCAAACAATGGCGCTCATGCATCTGTTTATTTTTCTTGTAATATCGGTCTATATAAATTCGCTATCATCCGCTTGAATTTACTGTCAACATTCTAATCTTCATTCCGCTGTTTTATCCAAATGGGCAATCAAAACCGGCGCGAGAAAGTGCATGGTTAATGGTTGTAAGAACTGAACTGAGCTGTTGTCCGCGCTTGATTGCGCTAGAGTGCATACTCGAACAAGACTTACATTCAGCCGGACGAGTCAGTGCACAACACCCCTCAACACAAAACAAAATATGAACTTTTTCCTTTACAAGAATTTGCGTCCTCTACTTTCTTCATTCAAAGAAAACTGCCTTAGACCGTACTCATCTTCCTGCTTCCCGATTTTCCTCCACCTCACGTGCACGCTCTCTAATTCCGTTGGGGTCTTCAGACGGTCATACTAAACGTTGTGCCTTAGATGAAACTATTGTTCTTATTCTGTCGCTATTCTCTGTCTGGTACGCCATTTGGCGTCCGCCCTACTCGAGTCAGCGACGAACGCAAATCAAACGCATCGCCATAAGCCGCAAATGGTAGGGTGGCATACAAGAAGGCCCACCTTACTGGAGCATCTCCCTCGAATCTGACCACGCATTAATTTGCGCCAAGTTGTCCATGTGTATCGAACGGCGTTCTAAAGGCGTAACACAGCGACGCTTAGACCAGCGTGCCTAATCGTCTTTCTGAAAGCGCTGACTGAAAAGCTAGAACTGACCCCATCTGATAACATCAGTTTTGGTCTCTTATCAAGAGTGCTGCGCATCCTGCTGGTTTATTGAGTTTTGGACTAAAATGTCGTGTCGTGACACCTTGGACTTCCGCGGAGTCTCTGCGCCTCCTTGCTGCACATCGGTCAATTCCGACCGGCAGTGAGCACGACTTGTAATGAGACTTGAAATTAACATAACCCCACACAGACCGCAAAATGTGGTGATCTCAACGCATATCAGAGATGGAACGCGCTTCTGCCTCGGGAAACTCTTGTAATCTGCTTCATCTCCTTCGTGTCATCGGTTGAAAAAAATTGGACGTGGGCAAAACGACCTGTGAAGCTGACGACTCACCCATTCGTAACCGACAACGACGTGATGCACGATGAGGCACAGTCTAGCTGACCAACAGTGCCTGCTTCTCAAAACCATTGCAATACACGTTCCATGGTCCTTTTCAACGACCCACCTTCCTAGACGGACATCCAAGCCTTAGGACATCACGAAGCGCCAGGCCCCGATAGCCTTTTTCTGCTCTATTTAAAGACGATCAAATGAGGCCTTTTAGAGAACTTCAAGTTTTGTTCTCTAGAGTTTGGCGTACTGAGCAGGTACCCTCCTCGTGGGGCAATCGATTATTGTTCCCATATTTAAAAAGGATTCGCACAGCGTTTGTGTCAACCACAGGGTGTATATGCCTTATCCCAATGGCGCCAAAGCTGTTAGCGTCCTTCATTCTTCATAATTTGTACAAGACTTATGAAGAACATGCTCACGAGGAGCAGGTTGGGTCTCGTCCCGGTCGTGGATGCATCGATTCAGTTTCCACCCTCTTACCTCTTACCACCGACCAACAATCATTGTGTTCTTAGCCATTCGCACGGCCTACTCCACCTCTAGAACCGTAGTGTGGCACTGTTAAGTTATGGTGTACCTGAGCAGTATGTGCTGACCCTCAAAAAGTTGTTTCGTCATACCTCAGGTCGGGTTAGAGCCAATGACCAGGTTTTACCATCTTTTACCGTTTCTAGTGGAGTGCGACAAGGTTTCTCTTTATCCTCATTTATCTTCAACTTTTCGATAGAGGTTTTTTTACAGGACGCTAGGTCTAGCAAACAGTGGAGTCGAACTCCTTCCAGGGAACAGAGTGCTTGGTTAGAATATGGCGATGACATCGTCTTGTTGGGTGACAATGCACCGATGGTCCAACACACTTTAAACCGCTTGGAGATCAAGGTATCCAGGTATTTTGTGTGCTTTTCACGATCTAAGTGGTTGGAGCCTGTACTCAGCCCTTGTTATCAGATACAAATATTCAAGAGTTTTAAGTAACTCGAGAGCTTGATCACAGTGTCGGTAAGAGATCATATTATAAAGAGGGAAAGCTAGAACAGCTTTCTCCAACCTGTGGCGCCGCCGTGACATCGGACTCTCCCTTGAAGAAAGGGTGTGCATCACTGTAGTTTGTAGTGTTATGCTTTATGGCTGCAAAACCTGGTCTCTCCGAGCGAAGGAGGCTAATTAATTTTCTGTCTGTGTCTGAAGCATTGCTCTTATCTGGTGGAAACATCGTGCAAGTATTGAATTTCATCGTCGTGTGTTGGATGTGGATAATTGTGCTTTAAAAGAAGCAAACGCTCTTCACCACCCCCGATCTTGGTCGTGTTTTGTGCATGCCCGCCCATCGTTTACTTCTCCCTGCTCTCTTTGCACCTGCTGGTCAAGGCTGAAGGAAAACCCGGG